TATATATGTATGTATACACCGCATACATACGTACGTACATGAACATTTAATATATATGTACACATATGCATTACATACACGCGTGTATGTATATTTATACATATATGTACACATATATATATATATATATATATATATATATATACATACGAAACAAAAAATACAAAAATGAGAGCGACATTCCCGACGCCGATGTCTGCGATGAACGATCTCCGAAAGGAATAAAGCACTTTCACGTAGCATCGTGTTTCTATCGCAGTTCCCCTCCTTCGCCACGCGCCTCCCGTTCCATCGAAGAATCCTTCTTTTATTTCAATTTCTCTATCTTCGGAACCGAATGCGATTATAGACTGCCTTGGCTTCTAGTGCATTTTTCATCGATACGAGGACGGAAGTATTCGTTGCTTTTTCCAACGCGAAATACATCACTTTATTAGAGAACATTTATTTTCTTTTCTACTTGTTGGTAATAGTTGGGTAGGATTCATAAAGGCCGCGTTTCACGGCCGAGTTAAGCCATAGGACAAATTCTAAGGATAGATACGCTATTGTGATATTGTAACGGCTCATTACCATTTCTCTGCGAATCACGATGTTACCGGCAGACCGTAGGAATCGATCGTAGCGCTTACTACGACGGCAAATAAAACTGAAACGAACTGTCGGCAAAGTAAGGTTCCATTTTACCCTTTCCGGAAATTTCTTACTATCAGCTGTTAATAACGGAGACTGTATTACCAGCGATCGATATAGCATGAATTTTTCAACAAATATACTCATCTTAAAACCTGAAAGTACTCAGTGTTATAAATCGAAAGTTATACAATTTGAAAACGAATTATTTCAATCCACTAAATATTCAGCGAATCGTGTAAAAGCTTAGTTGCGTGAACGATGTTAAATTCTTCGTTACTAAAGATATTTTATTGTGAAAAACATGTTAATAAAAACTGAGTATCTAAACAAGAATCGTCATTATTGAGTTTTCCAGGTCAAAGGCAACCCATTTTTGATAACAGGAAGTAGGTTGTGTATCGAGTTAAACACACAGTTATATAAATCTTCGCAGCGCTCGAAAGAGGAATGCGATTCTCGTGGAAATGATATTGTCATGCCATGTAACGTGTATTCGGGAATAAAATAAATATTGAAAAATATACGATTGCACAGAGGATCGCGAAAATGTGCTTAACTTTGATTTACGCTTCGGTTGAATGAATTTCGTTGGAACACGTTTCGCGTTACTGTTTTTCGGCTCCATTTCAAACTTTCGAGTTTTTCCGAATGCTCTGTGCAGGCGATTTAAAAACATAAAATTCCAGTTATCTCCTGTATTATATGAAACAAAATACAATGCTAGACATACTGCCGTGTCATTCCAAATAATAAAAGATGAACAATTCGCAGTTTGGAGTGCTTTAAAGAGAAACAGGAGCAACGGCAACTGACGAATTGATTAGGCCAAGGCCCCGAGCTACCAAGAAACAACGATGTCTTTCAATTAAGTTTGGAATATTTGCACTCGAGATCCCTCAATATTGGCCCTGGCACACGGTTATAATATCTCGTTCAGTCAACAGGGCGGAAACCGAATTCGATTGAAATCACCTAGTCGTTTCAGGAGCCGACAACATCACTCGGATTGGTAAGAGCTCTGTTTAGCGTGTATAGAGATAGCAGCGATGCTTTGATCACCGATTCAACCGAATCGATTGAAACGGAACTGCAAGTGCGTCCTTCCCGGCTCGTCCGTCCCGGTCCCATTTTATTTCCTCAAATATCAGAAAGTTTGCAGTTCGATGTTTACGTTTTACAAGGTAATCTATCCATTTTTCCAAGCTTGTCAATATTCCGACTGCGCCGCCGGGCTCGCAGAGATCCTTTTGGCAACAAAACCGGGGCTGCATAAAACACGATGCTTCGCCACACGGAATTACGTCCGCCGACCTCACCCAATTTCACGCTGCACGACGAGATTATAATCGAAAACCGACTTTCGCAACGCGGACAACTTATCGTTCCGAGGCAGCTGGTTCGAGGGAAGATTGGAGTTGCCCGTCGCAAGTGCGCGGGTCCATCAAGAGTCGCGGAATCAAAGTAAACCGTCGACAGGATCGACTTCCGACATTCCTGCATTGGAAAGCGGAAACTAATCTCTTTGCCTCTATTCGTTGCCATTGGCTATCCGGTGCACTCCTATCGGGAGGATATTAATTTTTTTTTTTGCCAACAGTAGAGCGGTTGGGTCGTGGAACGTATATATGTACCGACGTCAGGTACGCTTCCGCTATACAAGAATCCCCGGCAGCCATGCTGAAGACATGCCACGCCGCCTCGTGACACGTAAATCCATCTTGATGGCGCATCATCCTGGAGATATCATTCTAGCCGTGACATCTTATGGGTGTCGTTATTATCCTCCATCGATCTTGCTCCGCTCGTTCTGCCATGCGCTCTTTACATTAATCCGACGCCTAAGGGATCGCGGCTAGGTACTGCGGGTCAAATGTGTTGCGCCGATAATAAGGAATCACGTTCCTAGCCGTAAACCCCCAGGAATATTGGAGCAGTGTACCATTATGTCATTTACGTCCTATGAGCGTTACCTGACAAACAAATCTATCCGGCGGATAGACCATCGTCGTCTCCGGAGGTGCGGAATAAATGGATGCGTTCGCGAATCGTCGTTTCGTTTATAAATAATAATACTCTGCATGTATCATAAACCCGTTCTACATCTGTGTAATCATCGAAACTCCATTAGGTTAGTGCTAAGTAAGATTTTATGTTTCCGGTTTGCAACTAGTACACAATTTCGGTGTTGTCCATATCATGTTGTCAAGGAACGGTTCAAGTAGTCGTCCAGCACTGGGTAATGTGCCCTGCGGTTGAGATAATAGGATTCCTGGCAAGTAGATACCCTTAGGATTAACTGAAATCCCCGAGGATCCTCCGAGGATTGCCGCGCTACCGAAATTTGAATGTACAATGTGAACGCCGTCAATCATGGAGCATTTAGTCCCTACTACATTTAGTACCAAGATTTTTCATCTTGATCTTATAGAAGAAATTAACCTTTATTCGATCATAGCTTCGATTCATTTTCACTCTATGCAATTCAAGTATTTCATCGGAAAGATCTTCCAATTGCAAGTGACGGATAGCGAAAAGCATGGCAGTGAGAAATATCCAACTGATATAATTAAAAGTAGACGGAAGTGATGATTGCGTTGCGACTGCGGCACTCTCCTCGGGGAACAATTTAAAACCGATTTCTCACTGCGATATCAGAAAGTTAGGCGAAATCGTGTTAAGTGGTTTTAATTACTTAGAAAAGTTGGACAGCGCCCGGAAGTTTCCACGTCGCTCAACGGGAGGGTGGATGTGCCTCGAGAACGCGGCCATCATTCCAGCCTCCAGCCCTCATCCTCCGACGACTACCGCTCGTTGCGCCTACGTTCTTATTTGAGGGCTAGCCAATTATTCCTTGGTGCGATCGATCGGCAGATTTCAACAATTAAAGAAACTTCGTTAATTCTCGTGTTATTTTTCCTTTTCAACAGGAATCCCAATACTCGGAAACAATCAAATATCTAATCCTTAATCCGTCGATCCCCGCCTGAAACTGATTTCGCGCTAAATACGTAGGGCTCGTTGTCGTTTAGCAAAAAATCATCTCAACTGGAAGTGAGCCTTCATGAGCAGACTGGTGCCGACCGGATGACTGCTTCCATGACTGCCTTCTAACTTACTTCCTGGGAAAATTCACTTCACGAAAACATGTGGATCATGTTTCACGTTGCCTACAGCTTGTACCTGTTGGAAACTTAGTTGTTACATTTATGTACATAAGTAGCTGGTGCATGTATTATTCGCCTGGGTCATTGGATACAAGAGCAAGGTCATTTAATCATGGATAATGTATAAAGGCATGACTAAACATCTTGTAGGTTTTTGTCAACCAGCTAACTGTAATACCGACGTAGAAGTCATTAACCTGTCGGTAACTCACTTACTGCGCCATCCAATTAGGACCATTTCTTGTGTCGCAATTATTTCACTTGATACTTTACTAAACATCGCATACGAGGTAGAGGACAGACATAACATGCAATGTAAAATTTTGTCACGCGCTTTCGAGATACGTATGTGGGAAATATACGTGTTTTTATGGAAAGCAATTTATATACATATTTTGTTAAGGAATTTTTATTAAAAATTGCCTGATACAAATATTGATACTATTCATACACACAAGGTGTGAAAATGATGTATACTATACATTTGATGAACAGAGGACGTTGATAAGTCAATTGCGTTTCAGAAGCAAAGAACTTTGATTAACTACATATAGAGTATTTGGTCAACTTCGACCATTTTATGTTATGTTATATTGACACAGAGGGGAAAACGAAACCTCTGACTTTTTACACAGTCGGTAATTTAGATGATGCGACATCGACTCCCATAAGCTTGCAATGTCTATCCTATACCTCGCCCGCGGTACACCGAGGGCAGAATGTATCACGTGAACGGTGGTTTATTTAAGAACGTATGAAGGTGAAGTCTCGCCATTTTAATAATATGAGTGCTTAAGAAGTGGTTATGAACTTGAGTCACATCTCATTTTATGTAGTACGTATAAGAATAAAATTGTTACTTAATTACGATATATACAGCTACCAAATTTATGGTCACACGTTGCATTCTAACCTAAAATATTTCTTCATTGTTTTTTATGAACTTGTAAATAACGTTAGAGATTAAATGATTCATTCTTAATCTGTAATAATTACCAATTCAATATAACATTTGAATGAATGTATCTGTGTAGTTATTTTAAGTAATATGGAATATTGATTTTACTGACATAAACTGTATATTAAGTTTCTAACAGTTGAGAAACACATAAAGTTCTTTGCTGGCTACTTGAAAGTAGCACAGACTGTTGTTTCTTTAATGTTAGCGATCAAATTGTTAATATAATATGGTGAAAAATAAGTCATCCTTTGAGAACGCGATAACATAATAGGACTTAGTATTTACAAACCTTTAGTATTCATACGTGAGTAGATTACTTAAATATGAATATCATTTTTTATGGTAGAAATGGCTCGAGTTTATGTTTATGAACGCCCAGTTGACTCTGTTTTGACGAATGTGACATTCTACGAGAATTTATATGTAAGTATCTCTTAGAACATAATTTACTATGATACACTTAATCATGATAAGAAATAACTAGAGTTTCGGTTCACATTGCTTCTTATAATTTTATTTGTCACTTATGATGCATGTTTGATTGAAATTGTTCCACTGTTATAAAGAAAATTTTTACAAAATCTATAGTGAAATATTTTTACAGATTTTGTAATAGAAATAAAGATTCAAACATATAATGTTTATATCAGACACGATAAAACATATATTCAAATATATAAAATGAATACCAGTATTAATTATAATCATTCATTAAATGTCACATTATTAGTGTATGTTTTATGACTAATTTGTTATTTTTTACTACAGCGTATTTTAATGATTTAAGTTACAATGTTGCTTGCATGATCTTTAAATCTTAGGTTTCATAGTCAATAGAAATTTCATGAACCTTGGTTCTGTTATAAACTCTATCGAGTTTCCAATGATTTCCTTCTTTACCGACTAACGCTAACTACTGAAGTCGTTGTGCACGAATGGTGGCGTGGTCGGTGGTCGCCATGTTGCAGGCTAACATGGTTTCCGCGGCACGGCCGGACGTCTCACGTAATGGTGGACAGTGGTTCACAAAATGGCTGATCATGAATCACCAGATGAAAAATCGCCATTACTTTAGGAAAATAGACTCTTCTGTAACTTAGCATGTTACTACCTCAGGATAAAATTCGATAAAAGGGGACCTAGAAGGCTTAATACATTACATTTAAGCAATTTTTGGTCATTTCTAATGTACTCTATGCCAGTTGAAGCAAGTTAGTGTCTGAAGGTACAAAGCCACCTGAATTGAAGAATTTACGCGACACTCTACTGTGTTCCAAACATTAATCCGAGTCGTTAGGTTTTAAGTTTCAATAAAACAAACAATGCTTAATGAAAATTGAGCGAATCGGGGTATCCAATTGTCTAGAAGAAGTTGGAGGGTTTGGAAAAATAAGACGCTGTTATCTTTGAGTACAGGCTAATATAAATTACGAACGAAAGATTCGTTATAAGTGTCACTCTCGTTTGTTATATTATTCGCGCCTTGGGAACATTTTGATATTTCTTTCACTTTGTTACATGATATTTGAAAAGGTCAATCTTCGATCTACAAGAAGATTTAGGGATATGCGTCTGGCGGTTAAACGAAGTTTGTACATCTTTTTTTTCAGCGACGTACAGAAGAGATACAGATTAAAGAAGAACCGCATGACATAGATGAGAATGATCAAGGCAATACTTTTTCACCAAATACTGACGTAACGTCTACCACTACAGGAGAATCAACTGTTTTAGAAACTCGATCGGCGGACTATATAAATAACAAAGAAAATGAACTTGTATTGTCCAAAGATTATACTGATACAGAGAATTCAATAGCACAGACGCCTAGAAGGAAACGTACACGTTCAGAATTTGAAAATCTTAAAGAACAAGATACACCTAATTCATTTAGAGAATTTAAACGTGTTCGGTTTACAAGTCCTACTGTAATTCATTACATTCCCGAAAGGAATTCAAAATCATCTATAAATGGGAAAAAATGCGATATATGTTCGTTGACCTTCAAAAAAGCAATAGCACTGAAGTGTCATATGGATTATTACAATGGATACTCTGGTTATATTTGTGATAAATGTAATGCGGTGTTCAAATCACAAGTTTTATTAAAAAAACACAAAAACCGATCAGCCTGTCAGAAGCGTAATAATAAAGATAATAACGATACAAGAATGTTTTTCTGTCATTTCTGTGAGCGACCGTTTAGACGCAAACCAAGCTTGCAAGCTCACATATTTCATGCACATTCAAAATTAATGTTTAGTCTTGAAAAAGAGAAAAATGTAGTTCCATCTCCGCAAAATACCGGCAGTCCCGCGATTAAAAAAATGAAGCAAACAAGTATCGTAGATTTTCTTCGAAGAGTTGCAGAAAAAGAAGCACTTACTTCTAGAGAAAGCGTTAATCTTAAAGAAAAGCATTCCAAAAAAGTTACACCTAAGCAGAATGGGGTATTACATTCATTTTTGGGACCACCTCAAGAAAATAGAACAACTAATAACAAAACTTCTAGTTCTAATACTGATTCCTCTCGTGGTAAGAGACCATTTGTTGAGATACACGTGGACTCTGATATGGTGACGTTTTTATTGAAGAATAATGTAAAAACTGAAATGAAAGAGTTATCTTCTGACTCACCATTGCATAATACATCCTATAATCTTAGAAGAATCAGAAGAAGTAGTGATCATTCATTAACTGATTCGAATATGTCACCAGCGTCTAGAACTGGTAGGAAGATACACTCAGTTGCTACACCTAAACACGGACAAAGAGACTGGCCGCTAACAGACCAACAACTGAATGATAAATTTAAAACTAAAAAATGTTCAGTTTATTTGATTAGATGCGATACAGATATTAAGAAAAATAAGGAACTTAATGGCGTTGAACGAGATTCTAACAAGAATACTAAGCGAAAAAGAATAGAAGTTCCATTGGTAAGAATGAATAACGGTGTAAAAGTTCAGCAGGTTGATCAACTCTTACCAGGTTCACAGAAATTGAATACAATTCGAAATGGCAAGCGGACGATGTTTCGGTGTAAGGTTTGCAATAAATCCTTCCCCGCAAAGGAAAGCTTGCATGAACATTTGAAATTGCGTCATGTGTTCTATATATCAAGTATATGCAATGCTCGCAACAGAACGATGAGTAAATTACTGAAACATTACCTTTATCGACATACTATTCTCAGACGAATGAAGTGTTGTGTGTGTTTTGAGAGATTTAAGTCCCTTGTGTTATTGAAACGACACATGGTTGTACATTGCATAAGAGTAATCGAATCCGAGGAAGATAAACCATGTACTAAGGAAATATTTAAATGTAACTTAATGAAAAAGACCAATCGCTGCGAAGCTTGTGGTAAGCTATTTTGGTTAGAGTCATGCTTGAATGAACATGAAAAGGTTTGTCAGAGAATGAAAGTGAAAATAAAGAAAGAACATTGTATACCATCCGTGAAAACATCTCCGCCCCCTTCGAATAATCAAGGATCTAATGCGAAATTTAATCGATCTCTTAGCGGGTCTGAATCTGTATGCCAGTCAGAGTCGGTGACACACCAAAAACCGTTATTGAAGGGTGTTGCACTTGTAAAAGGGTATAACATCGATGACAGTGGCTCTGAGAAAGTGAAGTTCCCCTGCACCGTTTGCGATGCACAGTTCCATACATTTCAGAATTTGTGTTTACACGAGCGTACCTATTCCCAGCCAGCTGTATACATCTGCCAGACCTGTGATACAGCGTTCCCCACAAGGAGGATATTGAAACATCATGTATCTGCGACCCATACGCCTATCAAGCTTCTAATGTACAAATATTTCTGTATGTTCTGTACTCAGGGCTTTTCAAAGAAATCAAGACTTCAAATTCATATAGGTCACTTCCACGCTAATCAAACACCTATTATACCGAAACCGTGGTTGGACAGCTCGCCCAACTGCAAAGTGGATGCTGTATGCAGTATATGCAACCTGGTGTTCGAATCCAACGAGGGTTTCATCGAGCATACCCTCTACTACTACAAAGGTCAAATGTTCACGTGCACATTCTGTGATCAAACTTTCCACGGAATGTACATGCTTAATCATCACAATAAACTGAAACATTACTCGGAAGACAAGCGCAAATTGTATACTTTGATATGCAACATCTGTAACGAGGGCTTCAACCAGGAATCCCACCTCCATGCGCATAAGCAACACGTTCATTTGAACCGAGTCACCTACAAGCCTTCGTGTCCTCAAGTTAACCCTTCGAGTAACACACAGGATCACACGTACGCGTTAATAAATAGAGATAATGCATCAAGTAGTTTCCCATCCAAAAAGTTCACCTGTAACATTTGCCACCTAAATTTCTTGCGAGAGAAAGACTTATATTTACACAGAATGGAGTACACCAATACCGGGGACTTCCTGTGCAGCTATTGCCCCAGAAGGTGTCCTAACGATACCATTCTAGCCAGGCATGAAAATTTGACCCATATCAGTCGTAATTCCAGCGAAACCTACACGTGTCGTTTTTGCGGCGAAGTAGTCTACACAACCGTAGCACTGAAATGTCATCAGTATCATTTCCACGAAATGAACGAAACGGATTTAAAGAATGAGAACGGTATTCAATTACAGAACACTGTGATGCTTGTCACGTCGAGACCAGACGATGGCAATTTTTCTTGTACGGTCTGTAACATGAAGTTTTACAGTCAGGACAAGTTGAACTACCATTTGCAGGAGTATGCGAACACAGGCACGTACAGTTGTCCAACGTGTAGTCGGAAATTTCCAGAGTTGTACCGCCTAGAAGTGCACAAGCTCGAGCATTCGAACTTGAACTACATGTTGTGCAAATATCGATGCTCTGTGTGCCAAGAGGGATTCCCGAGTCTCTTGAACGTTCAAGCGCACGCGTTGCACTTTCACGGACGCAAAGGTACTAAGAAGACTGCGAGTGAGTCTACAACTGCCAGTACTACCAAAAGAGGACCATACACGTGCGACGTATGCTCGATGTCCTTTGAATCCACGTATTCTTTGAAAAGACACGAAGCACGTCTCTCGAACACAGGCGACTATATGTGCGATTTATGTGGCAGGAGATTCCCTGGTATCGAGTGGTTGAAAGAGCACCAGAAAAGACACGCGGTCAACCCGAAACGACAGAGGTACTCTTGTCCCGACTGTGATGAGACGTTCCAAAGTGTACTTTCTCAGTACCAACATATCGTTCATCAACACGGCAAGCAGAAATGGTTCGGTAAAATTCCTAACCAGAGAAGACAAGGAGCTGCGAAAACTGCCCAAAAAGCACAGAATGGCAAGGGCAAACAAGGCCCAACTACAGGCAACACTGTAAATAAAGAATCCCCCGCCACAGAGAAGTGTGCTAATGAAGACAATGCTTCTCTAATCGAAGAACACCTGCGAAATTCAGGAGCGGAGCTGCTCTCCCGCATGTGCCCCACTTGCAGTACAAAGTACCCAACGTTCAACTCATCCCAGTTTCATTTCGAAGGAAGTCCTGACCGTTGCATTGGTTGCAAGCTCACCTTCACCACGGAAGCGAAGCTTAAACAATATCCGTCGAAACCACATGTGCGAGTCAAGCCTATCAACATGGAAGATGCGCCCTGTCTAACCACGAAGGAAGATCCCGATGTGGTGCCAGTCGTTCTTGACAAGGAATCCGAGACTGCTGAACAGCTTGGAAGACAAAGCAACACCGTCAAATCGGCCATTCATGTTTCGTATAAAAATTTTTGTCCTATTGTTAAGTATGAATCGGATATATCATCGGAAAAATCGAACGACGAGCCCCCGTCCGACATTGGAAAATTAAAAGTCAGAGACTTTGCTACGATGATTTAAATCTGGCTAGCCGAATGCATGCAATTAGACGAGGTAGGGGATCTGGTAATTTGCGACAGTTCTGACTGGGTTAGGATTAAAGCTAGGAAAGAATAAAGCTGAGTATGTATAGTCTCAGTACCATCGTTACCGTGGTACTTCCGAAACCCGATCTTTCCCTCTCCAGAAGTGCATGATCTACGTTTGTACGTAGGATCTGAGGTGTTCTTAAATTAAACGGTACACGATACAATATGCATCGGATCTTCATTGTATCTTTGTACAGGTGTCTCAAGTATCGTATAATCCCTCGTGTCCGAACTCTGTAAAAAGGTTGTTACGCAAGTTCTATTAACGGAACAGCGAGTCCGCTAGGTATAAAACTATATTTAAAATATTAAAAATACTGAAACAATATTAGTTTGAGTAATTTCAGTCTCAACAAATAAAATTTACTTTGTTAATAAGTATGATTTATCACGGTGGTGTTGTTTCGCCGATCTTTTTAATCGCATGTAATTTATATTTAAGGTGTCTATAAAGTATTATATTTCACCGCCTAGAATGTTATCCGTGAGATACTGTATGTTTTAATCGTTCTGTCGGGAAGGTTACATTTTATACTTGAATGTTTTTAAAGATTCTACGCATTTCGTTGCCTGTTGTGAACTAAATTGCTACAGTCTAATTTTAGTGGTACGCGCAGCGTGTATGATTGTCATGCTTGAACCGCAATCTTGTCAGTCTTCAAATTGGCAAAGTTTTTATGACGAAAGCGAGATAGTCGGAGATATTAGGAGTATCAGAAGGGATGAATGATAAGAATGTGTCGAAGAGCCCGTTTCTGTTAAATATTTTTAGCGTATCCGGAACAAACACACTTCTCAGAATTCTTTCCGTTGGTTAACTCAATATTCTAACACAAAGATATTGTAACTGTATTATTGAACTAAGGACTAATGTTATTATTATAAATAAATCCATCGTATGTGTTTTTGTATCGTATGAGTGCTTCGTATAACATAAAACGATTTCTTTTTTAAAAACCTAATAGATTTACTTCATCGTAAACCCGTTGTATGTCTGGCGCCGCAATTCATTGTACAAGGTATAGTCCATTTTTACATAATACTATAAAAAATAATGGTATTTGGTCCAGTATTTAATGTATCCTCTACCATTCTGTCCCGCCATTTCTCAGCATAGGACGTGATCCATCATTTTCTCTGTAGCTAGATAAGGCAAGTATTAGGGCCCGAGGTAGGTAATATTCTTCCCAGAACTCTATCTTGTTATACATTACATTACTTTCTCTATGTGTTGCTGAGCATTGGCAGTAACACGTGTACAGTGTATTATTCGCGTCAGTCGAGCCGACCAGTGGTTTAAAAGTGAAGAGGGGCAAGGGGAGACGTCCAATCGCGGCTCTGTTATTGGCCGAGCCGCGAGCAGGGGGTGGAGCGTCGGCTCGGTCACGTGAGTAACGCACTGTACAATATTCTTGTGGGAGGCACCCCTGGCATAAACCCAAAACTCTGTAGACGCCTGACGCAGTGGAATTTTCTCTGACGAATCTGAAATACCGACACTGTGGGAAATGGTCTGCGTTATCGACCCGTACGTAAATGAAACGGTCGGTCAGCGAACTAGATAACACATCAACGTATGTCAAGATAGCAGTTTTAATGCCGCGACATTGTATGTCACGAGAACTGTTGTTTAAGCCTCGAATTATGAATACACTTTAACTCGTGTGTCTTTAATAATTCATGTTCCAGGTCTGCGAGTCCCAATATAAATAAAAGATAGTATGATACAAGTGGTTCGGCCTACCCATCGTTTTTCACATAAATACACCCGAGGCTTTGCTCTGCTTTGAATTCTATTTTATCCACGTTACTGGCAGCAGAAGAATTTTTAACATTTAAGCTCTCATGATCGATAATCCTTTACGAATTTACGATACTGTACACAGTTGCCGCAGTTAGTAAACTTGAAACTTCCTTGCTGTAATAACATTCGCTTTCGCCGCGAATGTAATTCGACCGTTACCCTCGGGCACTTTATGCTTTTACCTTCAAGATTTGTCATGGTTTTACTTTGGCGATTGGTGCGATAGCTATCCGAGCGACCCAAGCCCGAATAATTGAATCAATTTTAATCGATGCTTGACATTGTCACCAATAACACAGGAATTTGAATGAAACGTTCGCAGAAAAAATGCTCGTTTATAGAGTACCGCAAGTATTCGAGTACTGCTGTTGAACATTACTGCGGAGGTTGTGCAATAAATACCCGTCCAATTGAATCGATCAAATCAATACGTTTATGAAGCACCATTTGACGCCCCGTTGAACAATAGATTTATTTACTCGGCTAACTATAGATTAATGATATTGAACGGTAACTTGACGGTAACGCATTGAAACAGCAGCGTCGGGTGCAATTAATTTGTCCGGCTAAATGTTCAGTGAGTTGATATTTCAATTTCCTTGCCAGCGGCGACGACACACTTCGTTAATCGAGAGAAATAGCGGGACACGCGTGGCGTATAACCGTCAATGATCGAATCAAATTTGTCGCGATAAAATTTGTATGAAGAAACGAGGGTCGACGCGTCTTTCAAAGAATAATTAGAGCGGTAGTAAATACACCCGTTTCGTTCGCGCGTGCGTTAATTAACCGACCGCTCTCGCTTCGTTGTTACTATCGGGTGCCTCGAGGAAATTCGGCGAAGCGATATCAATCGGATTCAGATTAGTGGTTGTTTTTATTCTTGAATAAATTACTTTTATTCCTCCTTTCCTTGCGCCACAACAAACGCGTCCTTTTTCCGCGTTTAAATCGTGTTCTTTGTTGTTTGAACGTTGCGCGGGGCTCGCATTAATTAAAATATATGACACAACGTTAAAATTATGTCTGTCTATGTACACGAGACCCGGAATAGCACTTTGATTCGGAGAGCTCTGTGCGAGCCACGCTAATTAGAAGATTGAAGCTACGTTTTACGTTGAAATGCCACTGAGAAAATAATAACGCGACACATTTGTTGAATTACATTGTTTCGTTTTTTACCCGTCTCCCGCCACGCACCGCTCGAGTCAATTGCAACCCTTACCGTCACGCGGAATACCGCTTGAAGCGTCAAATTGACTGCAATTTTCGTGAAACCCAATGCATTAGCGCGATAAAAATGATATTTTCTCGGACATTGGTATCACGCGAATGAACGTCAACTAATGCGTACAGTTGAACATCTTTCTCCAGTTATATTTAGCTCCGCAAGGCCATCAAATTTTCTTCGAATCTCTTTCACGTTACTATTACGCACTTAAAATCATTTGCAGAGAATTTTCCATGAAATCAGAAGCTCAAGTTTCCAATGCATAGGTCTCTTATGGTTTAAATTTTAGGTTTAAAATTTCAAAGTACCTTTGCTTTCTTTGAGCAAGCTCCACTCGGTACAACGGCGTGCAGCGGTTTGAAAATCTGCTGCCTGGAGGTCGTAACAGTTTCTAAAGGTTCTGGATTTTTCAAATTATTGTATTCGCATAGCTGTCTTGCGGCAGCCACGTTCCGTATACCGTCGAGCGGAAATTCCCTCGAAATCTGGGTAACGCGAACGGGAAAGAGACAGTGCGTTCGCGGGGTTTGACGGTCGTATTACGCTCCGATTGGGCCGCGGTAAGTTAACGAGAATTGAATTTCAACGGAGTAGTAGGTCTCGAGCACGGTCTACGCTCCCGTTCCATGAATTACAAATCCGAGCCAGCCTTTGAACACGTCTTCGTGCGTCCGTGCCGCGAAATGATGCGATATCAATATTGCAGCGAACCTGTGTATAACCATATATATATAATATATATATATGTATACCCGACGCAACATTCGACAAAGCATTCTAACCCGGCTGACATTATTACGATAACATATACGTGCCCCGATAACGTGACACGCGACACAGTATAATATTACCAGCGCCCTGTGACGTGCTTCTGTTATCCTGCCGTCCTCCATCCACGCTATTTTCATCTCGGACCAAATGAAATTGGTATAGCAGCATTTCCGCCCCCCGTTCGGCATGTAACTCGCGAAATCAGAAGTTCCGTGCCGCTGCCAACGCACACCATCGCACGTGCAGTACTTTCTCGCATCCAGCTCGTTTCTTGCCGTAACATTCTTTGACGTTCGCAATATCGCGGTCGAATCGGTGGATCGTATAAACATGTTTGCGGATGCGGGTCGATGAGGCTTCCCGTTCCAGTCTTTCTTCGTTGTTTTCCGCGGACAGTCGATTCGTCTATCGGTTTTCAATATTTCGTTAAATCTGTAAATTCCCGGTATCGTAAAAATCGTTCTAGTTACGGGGAACTTGCTGCAGGAACTTCGGAATATCCGACTCGCGGCGGGATCCAAAAAATCTTCCAAAGTTCGGAGAACCGTCTGCGAGATAGGATTCGCAGCATCGGAGCCGTGATGTTCCGCTAGGAGTTACTTAGGACTTACATTCGCAGCGACTCGAGCCGAATAGCGCGCGTATGTTTCGACGGCGAGACTTACACTCGGAGGAACGATATTACAGCGCTTCCTCTGACACGCGACGCGGGCTTTCAGAGTTCGAGGGTCGGGAGGGTCTTACTAATTCGAGGATACGATTCAGGCAAATCGTCATCGTTTGCTCAGCAGGTAGGCATTCGATTTTTCGTTGCATTATATTCCTCGTCTTTTTCGATAACAGTCATTGATTTGTGTTTAGATAAGGAGTTCTTCTACTTGACCGACCGAAACTGATAACTCTGCGCGCATCTACTGGAGGACACGTGACTAAATCCTAAAATTCTATTGATTGCAGCAGTCGATGGAGGGCGCTCATCGTGAGATTCCCTCAAGTTACAATTCCTCGTTGGCCTCCATTTTATAAATCGTCCCTTAAGATTAAGAAGTTCTTATCTTAAACGAATATCTTGTCCTCTTAGAAATGTTTGCACTGGCCCGCCGAAGTAGAAGAGAAACTGCAACGCAGCGTTAGTTAAAAAAGAAATGTGCAGATGGTTGGACGGCAATTGCTGTAATCGCAGTGCAGATCTTCAGCATCCGATGCCAGAGTTAACCCCTCGCGAAACTAGCGAATTGTCCAGTTACAGCCACGATTATGCCCATAAAATCTTCGTTGCAGCGGTAAGAGGGAGGAAAAAAAATGATTACCGCGCTCTGATTGCGCCGCGAACGTAAAAACGGGCGCAATAATGTACGCGCAGCGAGGCCGAGGCGAAGCGTTAAAAATGAAACTCGCACAGCCGGCCTTAAAATACGTTTTCCATGCATGCTCTTACATTCATTTCACTTGCAAATTTTACGATTGATCTTCCGCGAGCGTCGCTCCGGGTCTGTGTCTCTGTCTCTCCCGGTCACACCAGTGCTACTCCCCAGCCGCCGTTGAAATTGGGTTTGCGCGTTATGACGGTTGTATGGCTGCGTTTGCAAAGTCCAAACGGCGCATCGGATTAGCGAAAATCAACTGGCGCCAGGCGTAGACTCTGATGAGAAATGTTAATTGGATCGATGCCGGTATCGTATTACCGGCGATTACAGTAGGACAGGGACTGCCCATCAACGTATTTGCGGTGCTCGATCGAGGTAACCTGGTCACGTTAACGAGTCGAGGCTTATAACGACCGCTGTTCCGCTCAATCCTGATCCAGGAAAGAGTTCAATTGTTTTCAAATACCTTTAGAAAGTGAAACTTTATGCCTCTCGCTATGACACCGTTGAATCTTGCTCTTTGAAAGTCGGAAGTTTACGTCGATTCGATTTGATTTTAGTTGAAGCGATTTTTAACGAATTCATAGTTTAATCGACAAGAATGATCGAATTATTTGATAATTTCTTCGAAGATAGGGTTACAACGCCGAAAGAATCGTCACACGTTCGGTCAATCCTCCTGCGTCTCGTAGATTTGAAATCGGAACGACCGAAAATGTCTTTCCTGGTACGTGGACCAGCGAACGAAGACAGAATACGTGACACGGCTCGGCGGATCGTTGGTGGAATCGATACCGATGCAACATTGAACGCAACTAGATTATCCTCGGATGGTAAGCCTCTTATTCATACGGCTAGTGCCGGGAATTGACAGAAGAGAGGACAACGGCAGGGAGAAATCGAAAATCCAAGAGGACTGCCGCGAGAAGACATCCTAAGGAAAAAG